GCCAGGAAGGGGCGAAAGGCAATGGGGAAGGTGTTGAACTCTCAGGGGTCTGTAAATGTGTGTTCACAGGTCCCTCAGATTGTAAGGCGAGAGGGGGTGTGGAGAGAATCAGAACTTACAGGGTTAAGAAGTTCTGAGTGACGTCTCACATTCTGAGGCGTGGTTTACTGAGGGGAGTGTTTCCTGTGACTCAGTGCTGTTCCGTTCGCAACGGAGAGAGATGAGCAAAGATGTGTGCTCGGTCGCCAGGAGGAGATTTATGGTTTGTTTTTCTACACGAATAAAGGCTTTTAGAAGATAAGGAAGACACCGTGCGTGCAGTCTGATTTATCATACACACACGCACAGCAACAGTCTATCAGCTGCGTACACTCTGCTGCAAGTAGCTGGACCGGAGAGCTGAGCAGAGCGCGGAGAGTGGAAGCGCGTGGGCTCCAGACAAAAGCTAAAAAGGCTACAAAGGCTACAACATTCCATGTTAAGATAATGACAGAAAATAGAGAAAGATGGAAAGGATTTGCTGAAACAATTAATAGAAATGGAATACAAAAAGGGAGGTGAGAGGAGGTCGATGAAACAAGGGAATGAAAGAGAGGATATTGAGATGGTATGATGTGTGTTTTTTGAACTGTTTTTGCTTTTGCTTTGTTTAATGTGTTAATGTTGTGTCGTGTATTTATATATTGTATTGTATGTTTTTTTTTTTTTCTTCTTTGTAAGGTTTAAAAATAAATATCATTTTTTTTAAAAAAAGAACTGAAGGGAGTTAGATGTTATAATGTTCCTTTTGTTCTGTAAAAATGTCTAGTTTCGTATACAAATCAAGTTGAATATTATGTTTTTTCTCTCTAGTTTTTAAAAGTACAGTGGTGCCTCGCAAGGACGAAATTAATTCGTTCCGCAAGTCTCTTCGTCTTGCGGTTTTTTCGTCTTGCGATGCACGGTTTTCCATAGGAATGCATTGAAAATCAATTAATGCGTTCCTAGGGAAACCGCCTTCAGACCAGGTCCGGGGACAGTCTGTCCCCGGACCTCTTCTGAAGGCTGGGGGGGGAACAAGGGCTTTTCTTCCCACCCCCAGCATTTTAAAAAACCCTGGGACAGCGGAGGACTTCTCCGCTGTCCGGGGCGATCTTAAAATGCTGGCGGCGGCATTTTAAAATCGCCCCCGGACAGCGGAGGACTTCTCCGCTGTCCGGGGCGATTTAAAAGCCCCTGGGAAGGCAGGCAGGGGGGCAAAGACTTTCGCCCCCTGCCCGCCTTCAGAAGGTGTTCCCGCCCCCCGCCCCGCTTCGGAACAGCTTTCCGAAGTGGGGCGGCTGGGGCAGGTGTCCCCGCCCCCCCTCCCCACTTCGGAACAGCTTTCCGAAGTGCGGCGGCTGGGGCAGGTGTCCCCGCCCCCCTCCCCGCTTCGAACAGCTTTCCGAAGTGGGGCGGGCTGGGGCAGATGTCCCCGCCCCCCTCCCCGCTTCGGAACAGCTTTCCGAAGTGGGGCGGCTGGGGCAGATGTCCCCGCCCCCCCTCCCCGCTTCGGAACAGCTTTCCGAAGTGGGGCGGCTGGGGCAGATGTCCCCGCCCCCCCTCCCCGCTTCGGAACAGCTTTCCGAAGTGGGGCGGCTGGGGCAGATGTCCCCGCCCCCCCTCCCCACTTCGGAACAGCTTTCCGAAGTGGGGCGGGCTGGGGCAGATGTCCCCGCCCCCCCTCCCCGCTTCGGAACAGCTTTCCGAAGTGGGGCGGCTGGGGCAGGTGTCCCCGCCCCCCTCCCCGTTTCGAAACAGCTTTCCGAAGTGGGGCGGCTGGGGCAGATGTCCCCGCCCCCCTCCCCACTTCGGAACAGCTTTCCGAAGTGGGGCGGCTGGGGCAGGTGTCCCCACCCCCCTTCGGAAACAGCGTTCTTAAATGCTGGGGTCGGGAGCGAAGCGCTGCGACCCCCAGCATTTAAAATCTCCCCGGACACGGGGAGATTTTTAAAATGCTGGGGGTCGGGCAGCGCTTCGCTCCCGACCCCCAGCATTTTAAAACCTCCCCGGGACACGGGGAGATTTTAAAATGCTGGGGGTCGGCAGCGCTTCGCTCCCGACCCCCAGCCATTTTAAAACCTCCCCGGGACACGGGGAGATTTTAAAAATGCTGGGGGTCGGCCAGCGCTTCCGCTCCGACCCCCAGCATTTTAAAACCCTCCCGGGACACGGGGAGATTTTTAAAATGCTGGAGTCGCAGCGCTTCGCTCCCGACCCCCAGCATTTAAAACCTCACCCGGGACACGGGGAGATTTTTAAAATGCTGGGGGTCGGCGCTAACGCTTCGCTTCCCGACCCCCAGCATTTTAAAATCTCCCCGGGACAAGAGACTTCTCTGCTGTCCCTTGGAGATTTTAAAATGCTGGGGGTCGGCAGCGAACGCTTCGCTCCCGCCCGCCAGCATTTTAAGATCGCCCCGGGCAGGCGGGGGGAAGGCAGGCGGGGGGGAGCAAAGACTTTTGCCCCCCGCCGGCCTTCAGAAGAGGTCCTCTTCTGAAGGCCGGCTGTGGGCGAAAGTCTTTGCTCCCGACCGCCAGCATTTCCCTATGGGCTTTCGTCTTGTGATGCAAGCCCATAGGGAAATTCGTCTTGCGAAGCGCCTCCAAAACAGAAAACCCTTTCGTCTGCGGGTTTTCCGTCTTGCGAGGCATTCGTCTTGCGGGGTACCACTGTACAGCTTACCTGTAATGTCATTTGTTCAAATTTAAAGATGGATCTGTACTTCATAATTAAAATGTGCTTTATTATTAACCGTATTTTTCGCTCTATTGGACGCACCAGACCACAGACGTACCTTGTTTTTAGAGGGGGAAATCAAGGGGAAGAATATTATTCCCCCCCCCCCTGCAGCCCCAAAGAGCCACGGACACGATGCACACAGCCTGTCCACTTCTCCCAGAGCTTCTCGGGGGCTGCGGGGGAAGCCCGGGTCCCCCCCCCAGTCCCAAAGAGCAAAGAAACCAAGACAGCGAGCGGGATCCATAGCCACGCAACCTCTCCAGCCAGGAGCTAAACCTCTCCAGCGTGGCTAAAGAAGAAGACAAGGCAGCCAGCGCAATCCATCCGCTCACTGCCTTGGCCTCTTTAGCCTTGCGCAATGGAATGGATCGTGCCCGCTGTCCACCGGGCCTGACTAGATGACTCCTGGGGTTCCCTTCCAACCCCGCAATTCTATGACCACGGAAGGTGTTGGGGGTCTCCACCACTGGAGGCTTTTAAGCAGCGGTTGGGGGACCATCTGCCTGGCGTTCTTTAGTTGTGATTCCTACATTGTGAGGGGGCTGGGCTAGATGACCCTCGGGTGGCCCTCCCAACTCTATACCAGTCCTACAATTCTGCGGCAGGAGATACCACAGCCACTTCACACATGCCCACTCCCAATTTTCATCTAAGAGACATGTGGCTTCAGTGTCTAGGTAGGTACCCCTACCTGCCACTCTTCCCCCACCCCACTTAAGCCGAGGGAATACCTGCCAGAGAAGCTCCCAGGTGAGGCAAGGGTTAAGATCTACCTCTGGTAAATGGCTTTGTATCCTTCCTCTTTCCCCTTTCTCTTCTATGCTATTTCCTTCTTTTGAGTTTTGTTTAATCTGTTTTTATTGTATACTAAAATAAAAGCTGCAAAGTTTCCTTTTTTTTAATTCCCCCCCTTCAAACTAAACGTTAGATAAAAACACTGATCCAGAGGAATAGAAGGGGGTGGAGAAAGGACGGAAAAAGAAAAAGAGGTAGAGATAGAGAGATTTTATTAAAAGTTGGCTTCTTTAGCCTCGCTCAGCCTCCCGCAGCTGGAGAGGCGTGCAAGGCTAAAGAGGATGGATCGCGCTCGCTGCCCTGGCTTCCTCTTTAGCCTTGCGCAGCCTCTCCCCCCCCCCCCCCGGCTGGAGAGGTTGCGCAAGGCTTTTCCCCAGGAGGGAGAAGGGACTGACTGGCCGCGTCAGTCCCTTCTCCCACATGGGGAAAAGCCCGCAAGACCCGCGCGAAGCTTGTGTGCGGCTCTTGGGGGCTTTTCCTGCCTGCCTCCCCCCCTGCATTCGCTCCATAGGATGCCCAGAATTTCCCCCTTAGTTTTTAAGACGGAAAAAGTGCGTCCTATGGAGCGAAAAACACGGTATTTAAAAGGTGGCCAAAGTGGAAAAGTTCCCTGTCCAAAATTCAGATATACACTGTTACCTCGGGTTGCATACGCTGCAGGTTACATACGCTTCAGGTTACAGACTCCACTAACAGTGGCAGCAGGAGGCCCCATGAGCTAAAGTGGTGCATCAGGTTAAGAACAGTTTCAGGTTAAGAACAGACCTCCAGAACGAATTAAGTTCTTAACCCGAAGTACCACTGTACTTACATGTTACATTACTGTGAGAAGTTACAGGGGACGAGGCAGGGGGCCTTCTCGGCAGGGGCACCCACCCTGTGGAACGCCCCCCCCATCAGATGTCAAGGAAATAACTATGCAACTTTTAGAGGACTTCTGAAGGCACCTCTGTATTGGGAAGTTTTTAATGTTTGATGTTGGGTAAAAATAATAAAATTATCATTATTGTTACTACAGGGTTCACTGCCTGAGATTCAAAAAGCCTGGCTCTTTTCTGGGATGGAGTTTGTTTGGTTCAGTCGTGGAATCTGTGCCATCTCCAATGCCAAGCGACTCTTTGGTCAACCAGAGAGAGACAGAAGGAAGAACAAAAGCAGGAAACTTGACTGAAGCTACTTCAACATCCCAAATCACTCTGAATCCTACATTTAAGAAGGCCTGGGCAGTTCAGACAGCCTGATCATGGTTTTAAACGGCAGAACTGGAGGAAGAATATTCACAGGAAAAACAATCAATAGCCATCCATCCAAGGTTTGCTGTGGGAGTGTTAACATCCCAGGTGCTGTGGGTGGCGCTGTTGAGCCCCATCGAAATATCAGAGGTTCGTCACATAGAGAGGTCTTGAATTACAAAACAGATAGGATGATCCAATAGGGAGCCTTACCGAGAGAGTCCAAGATCCCACGATTCTCCTCCATGACTTCCTTATGGAGAGCTCTCTGGTCAGGATCCAGCAACGCCCACTCCTCGTCTGTGAAATGGACAGCTACATCTTCAAAGCACACTGGACCCTAACAGAACAGGACAAAGGCTGTCCTCTTAGAGAACATTCACTTGGCTCTGTTGTTTTCTACAGCGGCCAGACCCCTCTCTGCCTTCCTCATCTCTCCTCTCTCCTGCTGCAGCTTCTGCCTCGGAGTCTGGGCTGCTCTCTGCCACAGACTCCCTCTGCTCCCTGAGCCCTCTTCCCTCTCCAGCTTCAGACACCTCCTCCTCCTCCTCCTCCTCCCAGTCGGCTCCCTCTTCTCTGGCTCCTCCCACCATTCCTCTGCATCCAACTGTGTCCAGCCAGTCTGCATCCAAGCAGTCCTTCCCCACAAGGCTCCTTCCCCCTACCTGATCTGGGTCCACAGCTGCTGCCTCCCCTCCACCACCATGAAAAGATGAGGGAGCAGGTCTTGGTGGCATCATTCCGTCACCTGGGAGAGACAAAGGTAAGTGGGAAACTGTAAGTGCATCTCTCAGTACAGATGGGGCTTCGTCCAAGTCTCCCCTGCTAGCTTCCGGTTCCGCTCTGCTTAATGGAGGCAGCGGGAGATAGTTGGCAAAGGAAAAACAAGGATGACTGAGGGTAATTCTCCTTGCAAGTTGCCCCCAGGGACAGGGGGGAACGGGCTTCACTCCCAGTTTGTCTCGCTACCAGGCTCCGGCTCCGGCATGGATTGCGAGAGGCAGGGAGGCGCTGAGTGCAAAAGCCCTTCGCCTACCGAAAACCCTCGTTCACTGCCATTAAGAAGCAGAGGTTCTCCTGTCAATCAGAGCTCAATTTGGACTAATGTACAGGCATTGCTGGAAGAGATAATAAACTGTGGAATTGAACCAGCTGCAGTAAAAGTCTTCCCTGCTGAGTACATTTGGACATTTGTACCCATTTCATATAATAGTTGTGCAAAAATACATCTCTTCCCCCCCCCCCGGGCTCCAGGTGTCTTCCCCCAAAAGATACAAAGAACTCCGAGATTAGTTTCAAACCAAGAGAATGTGACAAAACGGGGGAGAAAACCCTCCTTCCTCCTTACCCAGAGGCCTCACTCTGGCGTCCAGCGGAGTCTTCTCTGCCTCAGAAGAATCAAGACCCACTTCTGCCAAAAAGATCCTTCCTCTGAAAGAGCAACAAGGATTCAAAACAGAGAATGGGGAGAAGGGTTAGAGAAGGAATGCGGAGGCAAGTGCTTTCGGGGGACAGAGGTGAAAGCTGTTTCCTGCTTCTGCTAGACTGGTGTCTGGGGTTGGCTGCCAGGACCATGAAACATTGGTCCTCAAGGATCTTCACTGGCTCCCAGAACGTTTCCAAGCACAATTCAAAGTGTTGGCCTCAAAGGCCCAGTATACCCAAAGGAGCATCTCCATGTACTGAGGTCCAGTTCCGAGGGTCTTCTGCTGATTCCCTCCACTGTGACAAGTGAAGTTACAGGGAACCAGGCAGAAGACCTTCTCCACAGTGGCACCCACCCTGGGGAATGCCCTCCCATCAGGTGAGAAGGAGATAAGAAAATGCATAACTTTTTAGAAGACATCTGATGTCTTCTATGCTTTTACATGTGCTGGAAGGCACCCAGCCACATGGGTGTCATAAATAATAATAATAATAATATGCTTTCCAAAAAAGGATCGGCCATTAGGAAATGATTTGGGAATACTCTCCCTCCTCTTTGGAGCCCCTTGGGAGTATCCAGAGGAAAGTCTCTCTCACCTGCTGCTCTGCCTGCTTCCTCTCCTCTGCCTGACTCAGGAGGAAACCTTCAGCCAGGGCCACCGCCTGGGAAGTGGTCTCCGCTCCGCATTCCCTCACCCAGTTCTCCATCTCCAGAGGAAGGACAGCCAGGAACTGCTCAAGATCACCAGGTCCAGCATCTCAGCTTTCGTGTGCCTTTCTGGCTTCAGCCATTGACAACAAAGGTGGTAGAGTTGGCTGGCAAACCTCTCGGGGTCCTTTGGCCTCCTGGGAGAAGAACTGCCTGAGCTGCTGGCTCTGCAACTCTGAGCAAGGGGTGTCCTCCTCACCCAGGATCTTCTGCACGGAGTTTTCCCCGAATCCCCCCACTGCTCCCCGTTTCCATGGCATGGCCTCTTCCTGCTTCAGGGCCAGCTGAGTCTTGCTCATCCATCTGGGCTCCCAGGAAGTCTCCAAGAGATCGGAAGGAGCCTCTTTGTCCTCTGCCAAGTTCTGTGTGTCCTAATGCAAGCTGCAGCAAATCCTACGAAACAAACACGTTCTATTATAGATCAAAGCACAGCCAAGAGAAGAAGAATGTTCCCTGAGGAAGCATGGATGAGTCTTCCTAGGAACCAGGGCTGGATTGCCACCGTCCCTATTGTGTTTTAGTCGTGTCCGCCTCTTCGTGACCCCCTGGACCCAGAGCACGCCAGACACTCCTGTCATTCACATGGCCTCCCGCAGTTTAGTCAAACAAATAATTAGGGAGGGAAATGCCCTACATACAGAGATTTATGAATAGAGAGAGAAGCTAAGCGTTTGCAAGCGTTCTCCCTTCATGGTCTTTCCCTCCTAATATCCTTCTCCCTCATAATAATGTCCCTCTTAATATACTTCTCCCTCATAATAATGTCCCTCTTAATATACTTCTCCCTCATAATAATGTCCCTCTTAATATCCTTCTCCCTCATAATAATGTCCCTCCTAATAATACTTCTCCCTCATAATAATGTCCCTCTTAATATACTTCTCCCTCATAATAATATCCCTCTTAATATACTTCTCCCTCATAATAATGTCCCTCTTAATATCCTTCTCCCTCACAATAAATGTCCCTCTTAATACCCTTCTCCCTCATAATAATGTCCCTCTTAATGTCCTTCTCCCTCATAATAATGTCCCTCTTAATATCCTTCTCCCTCATAATAATTCCCTCTTAATATACTTCTCCCTCATAATAATGTCCCTCTTAATACCCTTCTCCCTCATAATAATGTCCCTCTTAATGTCCTTCTCCCTCATAGAATAGAATAGAATCATAGAATCATAGAGTTGGAAGAGACCCAAGGGCCATCGAGTCCAACCCCCTGCCAAGCAGGAAACACCATCAGAGCACTCCTGACATATGGTTGTCAAGCCTCTGCTTAAAGACCTCCAAAGAAGGAGACTCCACCACACTCCTTGGCAGCAAATTCCACTGTCAAACAGCTCTTACTGTCAGGAAGTTCTTCCTAATGTTTAGGTGGAATCTTCTTTCTTGTAGTTTGGATCCATTGCTCCGTGTCCGCTTCTCTGGAGCAGCAGAAAACAACCTTTCTCCCTCCTCTAAGTGACATCCTTTTATATATTTGAACATGGCTATCATATCACCCCTTAACCTCCTTCTTCTCCAGGCTAAACATGCCCCAGCTCCCTTAGCCGTTCCTCATAAGGCATCGTTTCCAGGCCTTTGATCATTTTGGTTGCCCTCCTCTGGACACGTTCCAGTTTGTCAGTGTCCTTCTTGAACTGTGGTGCCCAGAACTGGACACAGTACTCCAGGTGAGGTCTGACCAGAGCAGAATACAGTGGCACTATTACTTCCCTTGATCTAGATGCTATACTCCTATTGATGCAGCTCAGAATTGCATTGGCTTTTTTAGCTGCCGCGTCACACTGTTGGCTCATGTCAAGTTTGTGGTCAACCAAGACTCCTAGATCCTTTTCACATGTACTGCTCTCAAGCCAGGTGTCCCCCATTTTGTATTTGTGCCTCTCATTTTTTTTGCCCAAGTGCAATACTTTACATTTCTCCCTGTTAAAATTCATCTTGTTTGTTTTTGCCCAGTTCTCTAACTGTCAAGGTCGTTTTGAAGTGTGATCCTGTCCTCTGGGGTGTTAGCCACCCCTCCCAGTTTGGTGTCATCTGCAAATTTGATCAGGATACCCTTGAGTCCATCATCCAAGTCGTTGATAAAGATGTTGAATAAGACCGGGCCCAAGACAGAACCCTGTGGCACCCCACTAGTCACTCTTCTCCAGGATGAAGAGGAACCATTGATGAGCACCCTTTGGGTTCTGTCAGTCAGCCAGTTACAAATCCACTGAGTGGTAGCATAGTCAAGACCGCATTTTACCAGCTTCTTTACAAGAATATCATGGGGCACCTTGTCAAATGCCTTGCTGAAATCAAGGTAGGCTACATCCACTGCGTGGATATAATAATAATAATCATAATAATGATTATTATATAATCATATATAATCATAATAATGTCCCTCTTAATATACTTCTCCCTCACAATAATATCCCTCTTAATACCCTTCTCCCTCATAATAATGTCCCTCTTAATATACTTCTCCCTCATAATTATGTCCCTCTTAATATACTTCTCCCTCATAATAATGTCCCTCTTAATATACTTCTCCCTCACAATAATGTCCCTCTTAATATCCTTCTCCCTCATAATAATGTCCCTCTTAATATCCTTCTCCCTCACAATTATGTCCCTCTTAATATCCTTCTCCCTCATAATTATGTCCCTCCTAATATACTTCTCCCTCATAATTATGTCCCTCCTAATATACTTCTCCCTCATAATTATGTCCCTCCTAATATACTTCTCCCTCATAATAATGTCCCTCTTAATATACTTCTCCGTCATATTAATGTCCCTCTTAATATCCTTCTCCCTCATAATAATGTCCTCCTAATGTCCTTCTCCCTCATAATGTCCCTCTTAATATCCTTCTCCCTCACAATAATGTCCCTCTTAATATCCTTCTCCCTCATAACAATGTCCCTCCTAATATCCTTCTCCCTCATAATAATCCCCTCTTTAATATCCTTCTCCCTCATAATATCCCTCTTAATATCCTTCTCCCTCACAATAATGTCCCTCTTAATATCCTTCTCCCTCATAATAATGTCCCTCTTAATATCCTTCTCCCTCATAATAATGTCCCTCTTAATATCCTTCTCCCCTCATAATAATATCCCTCTTAATATCCTTCTCCCTCATAATAATGTCCCTCTTAATATCCTTCTCCCTCATAATAATGTCCCTCTTAATATCCTTCTGCCTCATAATTATGTCCCTCTTAATATCCTTCTCCCTCACAATTATGTCCCTCTTAATATCCTTCTCCCTCACAATTATGTCCCTCTTAATATCCTTCTCCCTCATAATTATGTCCCTCTTAATATCCTTCTCCCTCACAATAATATCCTCTTAATATCCTTCTCCCTCATAATAATCCCCCTCTTAATATACTTCTCCCTCACATTATGTCCCTCTTAATATACTTCTCCCTCACAATTATGTCCCTCTTAATATACTTCTCCCTCATATAATGTCCCTCTTAATATCCTTCTTCCTCACAATTATGTCCCTCCGAATGGTCCTTCTCCCTCCTCACTGTCTTCCAGTCCCACCTCCCTGGCCAGGGCCTGAGGTCCCTCTGGCTCCCTCCCGGACCCCCAGCCTCTCTTCCCTCCCCTTCCCGCCTCCCGGGGCAGGAGTTCCCCAGGCTTCCCCCGAGAGGAGACCCACCAGAGCCCGGCAGGCGAAGGCGAGGCCGCTCTGAACGGAAGGGACGTCAGAGGGAGGAGGGGGAGGAGCGTTCCGCCTTCCTTTCCTGTCCCCTCTAGGAAGCCAGCTCGGCGCCTCTTAACCCTTGGCGAGCCGGGCGCGCCCCGCTCATCCTTCTCTCTCCCTGCCGAGGAGCCCGGGGCGTCGCGCAGGCGCACAGCTGCCCCTTGGGGGGGGGGGGGAGGGCAGGGAAGAAGCAGGACCCAGAACCCGGAACTGGGCGCGTGTGCGTGTGAAGTCTCTCTGGCTGGCGCTTGCTGGTCATTTTCTGACAGGAATTTTCTCTCTTTTTAGTCAAAGAACTTCACTCCTGTATTAAACTGGTTGTTCTGTGTCCCTGGGTAACGTTTCTGTGTGGGTTTTTACTTCGTATCACGGCTCTTTTCCCCCCGGCACCCTTGGGCCCGCCCTTCAGGGTTGTCGTTTTGAGACCCCACTTCCTGGGTTTCCAATCATTACTTTTTCTTGAAGGGACTGAGCATTACTGCTCCCCCTGAGTCTCCTTTGATTTCATCTCCCAAGGTAGAGACTTCAGTTACTGTTTTCAGCCTAAATGAGCAGGAACCTCTTGGAAACATTGCTCTAAACTGAT